CTCAGCAAATTCAGGGCCTCCACTGGGGATGGCACTTCACTTCAAAAAAGTGGAAACAAAAACCTCTTTGCAGGTAGATTAATGAAGCTTGCACCCTGAAGTCTGTTGGCTTAGTTTATTTCTGAGCCAATGTAGAGTCTGCCTGTTATATCAGGCTTTTCTATCTGCAGAACAAAAAGCAGCACTTGAAAGCTGCAAGGTATTTTCAGTTTAAAAGGTATGTATGACTGTGGAAATACAGATGAAAGGCAGGGTGTTATGTGTAACACAGCAGTTGCAGAAACACCAGGGGATGCTAGCACAGTTTCATTTTCAGTGCTTGGATGAAGGGGACAAAGAAAATGTCTGTGCATAAATCTTTGTGGCCTCATCTGGAGCTCTGTTTACACTTGGCCCTCCTCTCAGAGAATGTTGTGGCTGTGAGTGATAGAGTTAGGAACCTGAAAAATCTGTATGTGGGCATAAAACAATTGTTACATTTAGAAAAAAAAGACAAATAAAAGGGTAGTAGCATATGAACATTCTCTTTGCCATGAAAATTATGGTGCCAAAAAAAACAACCCTAAAATTAAACACTTAGATAAGGAAATAAACCTGCCAAAATACATAATGGGTGTTTTCTGTCTAGTTACAGGATGTAGCTGTCATGCTGAGTTACTGGCATAGAAAAGCCTGGGTGGTTATAAATAACACCCCTTCTATGATACCCAGCGAGGCTTTAAACCTAGTACTCTGTCCATGTGAAAATTTGTGTTGACCTTCTGTGTCCAGATCACCCCACAGCTCTCGGCTCTGGGCTCCTTCCCTCCTACACTTGTGCAGGAGGTGGTGAGCACTGTGGCAATGCTGGTGCAGGGCTTCCCTGTCCACCCAGCTCTTTACTGGCTCTCCTTTGCCTGTAGCCTCCTGGGTGCCAGTTATGGTTGTTCTTGTCCGTCCCAGCCCTCTGGCTGTGGTGGGGGTTGAATCTGTCAGTGGCAGAACAATTCAGAATTAGAGGTGCTGTTGGCTTCTCAGCATTGTTTAGGACAGGTTCTGCACTGATCTTTGCTGATGGTGTGGTAAGATGGTTAGAAAGGGGAGGGATGGGATGGTGATGCAGGTTGCCTTAATTACCTGCAATCAAGAGAGACTGCATCATCCCCACTGTGGAGCTCCCCGAGAGGGGCCCATCATGCTGTATCTTCTGGCAGAGAGGCCCTGGGCAGAAGGAGAAGGCATCTGGGACTTCCTCCACAGCCATGGACACAATGCCAGGTCTTGAAAAAGTTTCCAGTGAAGTTTGCTGTACATACTGACATGAGCTAGTGGCTTCATTGGAAAGGAAGAACAGAGTTTCTGTTGTTTAATATTCACCATAATACTTTGAAGAAGCCCCTGCCTGATGCAGAGAGGTTGTTAGCACTCTGGAACTGTTGCAATACTTAAGTGCTTCTCTCACTTTCCCTAGATCATAGGCCAGGTTTATGCTGACCCAGACTGTCTCCCACGCACACTGGATTTTGGCCTTAATGTCAAGCTGTTCTGGGAGAAGTTTGTTCCTGCTGATTGTCCTCCAGCCTTTTTCCCTCTGGCTGCTATTTGCTGCAGACTGGAACCAGAGAGCAGGTAGGTTTGGGGTCTGGAGGACTCCTCTTTGGAAGCCTGCAGGATGTGTCTGTGTACCCACAGTGGAAGGACTGCTCTGCACAGAGGGCAGCTCCAGCCATCTATGGGAATGCTCAAAGGCTTCCATGAGTGAGAGGCTTCAGACTCAACACTCTGGGAGAGAGACTGCTGTATGGTGGAGATGTCTGAAACAATTTGAAGTCAGAGTAAAGAGGGAATGATTGTTCAAGATTTCTCAGGTACAAACAGTAGGAGCAGACTTTGACAGTAAGGTAAATACTGCATTTGATTTCAGTTATGAAACTTGTAGTTTCAGTTTCAGTTATGAAACTTGTAGCTTCAGCTTGTAGTGTTGCTGCCAAGTAGGTTTCAAAAGCCAGACCTCCCTGGTCACTCACTGGCTATAAAAAAGGGTAGCCCAGACAGATGAGTGCTTTGTGGTCTTGAAATCTGAATGGGGAGGAAATCATGTTCACCACTCTGTACATGGTACAGGGACCTGGATGGACAACTAGTTTAGCCTTTCCAGATGCTGTTCTGCTTCCTCTTTGCTAATAATGTTTCCTCACTGCTGCTTCTAGGCCCCCTTTTTCCAAGCTGGAAGATTCCTTTGAAGCTCTCTCTCTGTACCTGGGAGAACTTGCCATCCCCCTTCCATCTGAGCTGGAGGAGCTGGACCACAATGTGAGTGTGCAGTATGGACTGAGCCGTGACAAGCTACCTGAAAACACAACCTAGTCTGCTCATCCTGCTGCCTGTGCCACTTCCACTGGAGCTGGGATGAGCATCAGGGAGGGAGGCACTTCAGCCACTTCCAGGGCATTAACGGGGCACCACACTGTGCACCTGCTGCACTGCCTCTCTCTCCCCATCCAGCTTCCCTCCTCTTGGATATCCTGATTCACTGTGGATTCCTGGCATGTTTCAGAAGCAAAAAGGATCATTTCCTGCCAGCTGCACCTAGAAAAGCCGCTGAACACTATTTTTTCTGGCTTGAGAAATATTTCTCTGGCCTTTTCAGGCTTCTTTACTTTGGTGCCTTAGAACTTGGCTGCAAGCTGTGAAGCCACCCTGGCCTGTCTGCCAGGGAGGGAATTGCTATAGGAGACTCTCCTGGGTAAGGACCAGTACTTCTGGAACAGCTTCTCCCACTGACTGCCCTGCCCAGAAAGCTGGGGAAATTGGACATCCAGCAACATGTCTCACCAGGACAGCACATGTATGTATTTCCATGTGTTTCCCAGAACAATCCACTGAGATTTTGGCCTCTGACACACATCAGCAGAAGGAGTAAAAAGCCCCAGGAATTGGGCAGCTCTCCTGAAAAATGTCTCTCGGGAAACACATATGAATTGTTGTTTTGGTTTTGTAGGCTTTTATTCCTTCTGTGTCTCTGAATACCTCCAAAAGCCTGCCTAGAAACACTAAGACTGAGCTCTGCTTGCCCCTCCTGATGGCAAATAAGGCAGGCAGCAAATGAGCCACTGGAGCATTTTCAGACCCTGCGCCTGCAGTGAATTTGCCTGCCCAAAACCTTAACCTAGGTGAAAGTATTTGAACCTGAATGTGTAGCTCTGCACTAGGCACTGGGTGTGGACATTCCTGAGTGCTTGAGCTCTTGACCTGTGGATGTGAGGTGACAGAAATGGAGGCAGAAGGTGCTTGTCAGAAAGCCAAAGGTTTGAAGTGGCTCAGACCTTGGGCATGGACAATGGCAAAAGGGGACTTGCCCAAGGTTAATTAAAGGATGGACTTGTCATTAATAGAAAAGTGCTGGAGAATGTCCCATCCTCTCTGGAGTGGCAGCTGGAGAACTAATAATTCAGTTGCTACTACCTCATTCTTTCCTGCAGATTGTGCAAGTTGCTCCCTTTGAAGGTCCTTCTTGCAGCTACTGCTGTAGCACCTGAGCTGATTCTCCAAACAGAAATTTTCCTCAGGGTCAGTCCCTGCTCTGGAGGGGGGGAAAAAATAGGGCTTGGAGCCATTGGGAGGTGGGTAGGGCTGTATTTTCTTCCTGTACTTCTTTTCTTCCTCCCTTGGTGGGAGAAGGAAGGAAGGAAGCTACTGCTGCAGTAGCTCACATGGTAGGCAGAACTGAACAACAAGCTGCATCAAGTTCTGCTCTAAGTCTCACAAACATCATGGTTTAACTGGATTTTTAGTGTGCTCCTTTTTCCTTCCTCCTCCTTTCAGCCTGGGGTGGGGAATGGGTGTTAAGTCTTTGCTGTTACTTTGGTTTCCTCCCCTACCCATGAGTTTAAAGTATTATGTAAAATAACATGGGACCATGCATCACCTGACATCAGGTATGCAAGGGGGGTGTTTTTAGTCTGTGTAGTGGTGTTTTAGAAACACTGGGGACTCCCTGTGCTGTACATCAGGCAGGAGCCTCTCTAATCTGGGTCCAGTGGATCCAGGATTGTTAATAGGATTTGCCCTTTCATTCCCCCTCCCAGGCTGGTTTGTGAGGGGATCCCTGAAGGGAGAGTCCTGGGTGATGTGTGGGTGGGGTTTATGAATGGTGATTTGCACAGCTCCACATTCTAACTAAATTAAAAAGCAGTAACCGTATGCTATTGAGAACAAGATTTTGTGGTCTCTGTGTTGAATAAAGCCAGAAGCCGTAACTTTCTCAGGTTTCTATTGTTGTCACAAAATGGCAACACCGAAACTGCCCAGATGAGGCACCGTCTAGAGCACCCTTTTTTGAGTCAGTGAACTTTGCCACATTCACAAAACTGCAGAATCACAGTGCAGTGCTCTGTAGGATTATTTACCTGGAGTGAGGGAAAGGGAACAAGTTCTGTACATTCGCTGGTTGGTTTTAAGGGTGGACAGGAGTCAGCAGATCATGGAGCCTCTCCATTTTCCTTTTCTAATCCAGGGATAAAAATAGAACCTGTTTTTGGAAACATCTTATTCTGAAATATGTAGTTCAGGGGACTTTTGTTAAGACAACAACTGAACAAAAATGCTGGCTCTGTTGGTACCTCCTGTAACCTGCTGTGCTCTGTCTCCATTGTACTTCTCAAGGGATGGAGCTGCTGTTGAGCAGGACCAAAGCAGAACTGACCCAGGTCAGTGCAGGAAGGGGCTGTAACCAAGAGTCTGTTCCCAGGGGCCAGCCTGCTGAGTCACCCACAGCTCACACCCCAACAACTGCTTTTCAGGAAGTGTCCCAGTCCAAGAGCAAATGCTGGCAGCAGGGAGACAAACTCCATGCCCCTTGTCAGTGCTGGTGCATGAAGGCACTGCTTGTAGGGATTTACTTTTGGGCCTGGCAAACTGAAGTGGCACCTTCCCTTCTCCTCAATTCAAAGTCTGAAAGAAGGCAAAGGATGCTGCGCTGGCAGGAGGAATGCACAGATGAGCCACAGTCCACATAGTTATACAGAGCATTCTTCTTTTAAGCTTTAATACAAGGTAGCACAGTCTGCACCTTCTCATAATGAGGTATTTAAAACATTTTACAAAGAAATGGTATTCAAAGGCATTTAAAAATAAAATATTTCCCTTTTCTGAACCAAACGTTAACACTAAAACCCCTGCTGCCAAGTGCTGCTCCCTGTTAGGCCCACAGCTATAAAGCAGATGGCTAGAAAACTTACTTGAATGGCTTGAATCCCCTGAAGCGGGGACAGATGTTTCCCTGAACTGGCCTTGCCTTGGTGCCATTAGGCAGACACTGCAGCAACCATTCCTTCCAAACCCCCTGAAATGCTAATAAAAGTTGTTACAAAACCTCTCTAATAGGACCAGGCTCTGTAAGTAAGTAGTCTTGCTGCATAAGCTGAGTGTGTGACAGGCTGGGCCAGGAGCCACACCAGAACCTCAGTATCTTACAAAACAGCTGTCCTGTTCTGCCCTTAGAGCCACAACTGCTGCACTGTGATCAGGGTGACCTCCGCAGCTTGGCCACTCTGTCCAGCACTGGCTCTGTAGGAATTCTGGGGAGTTCAAAAGAGGATGTTATCTATCCTCAGTGTTTAACCTGCTGTAAGTAACTGAAGGGCAGTTTTTCTTCACTCCACAACTACCTACCACTCACCCTGGCTTTCCTGATCTGTGTAAGTGAGCAGGAGGCACAGACAGACCCCCCTGGACACCTACAACTGCGGCTGTGCGTGTAGCACCACAGGGGAATGGAGAAGTGGCCTCAGCCCTGGAAGACCTGGATTTGTCAAGAGCTTGAGGAGAGCACTGGGGCTAAACATTCTACTTCTGGCCAAAGACATCCCTCAAATAAGCTCTTCCTTGGAAAAAAGCCTGATCCAGTAGCAGGATTCTAGACAGTGATTCCAGCTCTCAGCCACTAAAGCAAAAAGGCAGGAACTACAATCAGAGTGTAATTATCTAGCTAAATCTGACATGAAGCTCCCCTCAGTCCCTGCAGTACTGTTCTCTCCTGAGGTTCCAGGCTGAAACTTAATGAACAGTGCACACCATTAAATAGGAAAAGAACATAGAAAGAGGAAGCCACGACCACGCTCCAGGCTACAGGATCTGTGGCCAGTTGTAAGCCTGGCCCATCATCCCCCCCAGCTCCTTGGCACACCATGGAGATAGGTGGGAGGAAGCAGCAGGGTCCACCACACCAGTCCCCATCTGGTCATGCACTGAACGGTGCCCCTCAAACAGATGATGAATAGCCCATTGCTCTGCTCCTCTGCATCACCTTCATCCGGCGTTCATCAAAAAGAAAACAAAATAGAAATGAACACACGCAACCCCTGCACTCACAGTGGGAAGCTGGAGGCTTTGCTCAGCCTGTAGCGCTCCTGCCTGAGCTGCTCAGGCACCAGGAGTCCCCGCCTGCCCCATGAGGGGGCCGCTGCCGTCCCGCGTGTCCTCCACGGGCGTCTGGTTGGTGTGCACCACAATGGTGTTCTCATCCACGAGCTCACACGTGGGGTTGCTGAATGCTGACAGGGGCAGCGTGATGCGCTGCATTTCACGCTCATAAACCTTCTGCTCATGCTTCTCCTTCAGGTCTTTCCCCCTGCATTACAATAAAAACCAAAACACATACATGGGGTGAGGGCTGCTACTTGGATGGAGAGTCTCAGTAAAGCTGATGGAGTAGAGAAAAAGGGACTCTGCTCTTTAAGATAAACAGTGGTTTCATCTGCATATAAAGGGCCAGAAATATTCCCTACTGTAAGCAGAGGACCACAGCTGGGCATTTTTGAAAAACGAGCAGCCAAGTGAAGTCTGTCCCTCCCTCAAACTGGCTTATTCACTGACATTGCTGCTGATAAATGACTGTACAGCCAGGCCCATCCTTCAAACAGAGCTGCCATGTGTTTCCTTATCCTTTACAGTCCCACAGCACAGCCTGGTGCAGGCCCAGGGGAGAAGTGAGACAGTGCAGAGGCCACTGCTGTGGAAAAGAGCTGCTGTAACCTGCTTCATCTGAAACAAATACTAAAGCTGGTGACAGCTTCTGCCTTTTGTTGCAGCAAATTAAGCTGTCCAAAAAGTATTAAAGCTGACTTCAGAGCTGGCCATGCTTTCTGCCACTGCAGCTCTAACAGCTTAATGCCACAACCAGCTCCTCAAACCTACCTCAGTCTCCAGCCTGTTGCTAAGTGAAGGAACACCTCAGTAATTTGTGCTGTGGAAGAACTGCCTTGCTATAAAAATGGATTTGGCATTAATAGCATGTTGTCTTCAGAAAAGCTATGTATACCAAAAACTACTAAACCCATTAAAGGTTTCTCACCACACCTAGTACCCAAACCTGCCAGCTTGCACATGCAATTTTGAGATCAAGGCAAGGAAGGAGACAGTAAACCTGCAGTACATCCCTGCTGTGAGCTCTCTGTGACTGGAGAAGCAAAGCTGCCTTTGGACAAGGCCCAACACTGGTCTATTGCCTCCTCCCACAGAGGACAGGAGAGAGGCACCACTCGCTCCTCCTGAGGCTCGTGATCTCAAGCAGGCAGAGCTGCTGGGGTTTCCTGTTAGCATTTTGGCTTCTTTTCAAAGCTGCCTACAAGCGTGCAGCAGTGGCTGCTGTTCCTGCCAGCACACAAGACAGCATTCGCTGAAGTGACACCTCAAATCAGATTCCTCGACAAGCAGTGCTCTGTTTTGCCCCTTACGTAACACTCCTCCCTCTGCTTTTTTTTCTGTCAGCATTTATTATAAACACTTACATAAGGACATGTCCCAGCTTGGGAAAGGGTTCCTTCTGCTTGGTTGTGTCAGACTGTTGTCAAACAGCCAAAACATAGAACAAACCCTCCCAGAAGAGGGAGCCTGGGCCTTTGCTTGCTGCAGTGACAATCACTGCTATTTGTTAATCCTGCCCTCTCTTTTACAACTAAGTAGCTTGTTACTGCTACTACCCTCAAACTCTGCTGAGCTACAGAAACATTTCTGTCCAACACAATAAAGTGGCTGAAAAAGAGTAACTGAAGTCAAAATCAAAATTGGCCTTAAAGTATACAGGAGCTTTGCTAAAATAAACTTGGACAAAAAAAAAAAAAAAAAAAAAAGTGCTACCTGACAGTTAGCTTCATAGGATAAAATGCATTAGTAGCAAAAAAGATTGTCAATTGTTTTTCTTCTAAAGATAGAGAAGTTAGGGGAACGGGTGGCCTGCTATAAGAATTGTTCTTTTTCTGAATAAAAGAAACTTCCTGTGAGGGCACCTGGGATCTGCTCTTTCCAGTTCTGACAAAATCCTGCTCCCCTGAATACATCTGAAAAAAACACATCAAGGTACACATGCACACACAAAACCCAAATATCAAAGAGGGCAATTTGAAACTTTAAGTGAGATAGAACATCACAATAATGGGGGAATGGAGAAGAACAGAGTTAATTCTTCAGTAGTTCTTTCCTCAGTGTGGCAAACAAACTTGCTCAATGTGCCATAATCAAGCATACACTTCTGTCCTGTTCCCTTGGGATCTGGTTGGGTCTGCAGGTGCTCAGACATTCCTGCTCTATATTCAGCAGCTTCTGAACAAAGAACAGCCACTCACCTCTTATAGATGTATCCCAAGACAATGCCAGCCCCGATGGCAATGATTATCACCATCATGATCAGCCCCAGCACATAACCTGTGAAAAGGGAAAAAAAAAGAGCCAAAATTATGAGGTGGCAGATCAGCTATAATGTTGCTTTCAGAGCCTCAAAACAGGTCTGTCCTGCCAGAATTACAGGAATGGATCTATCACAGCATCCCGGGTTTGTACCTAGTGTCCCTAAGTCCTTCTTTTCTCTGGAGTTCATCTGTACTCTCTGACTGATGCCAATGACGGGCTGCACCGCAGCTGCCTCGCTCCGGGAGGGCAAGGTATCAGCTGGTTCAAACACCTGCTCATCCTCCTGGGAAGTACCAACTTCTGCTGTAGGGACTGGGGCTGTGGTAGCTGTAGCATCTGCTGAGAGGAGAAAAAATATATATATACAACATACCATTCACTTATGAGTACTCCAAAACAACATGCGTCTTGAGAGTGGGACAGCTCTAGACTGCTATCACTGAACTGCCTTCCAAGCACACTGAAAACACTTGTTCCCCCTTAAGTTGTTGCCAGAAATCCTACCAAAGTAGACAAGAAATGTACTCCTCCCCACACTTTCCTTTGACATGAACCTATTTAACTAAAGAGTCCAAGGAACCAGCACAGATGAAAGAAGTCAGACAGCAGAATGAAGCCCAGGTTCAGGGCACGAGTCCAGAAGATGCACAATGACTTCATTTAGTGTATAGATTGATATACAGGCTGCAGCTTCAATCATGCTGAACAAGATTATGAGAACTCCATCCCAAATCTCCCAGGAGCCTATTTGTCTTTCTTCTACCTCAATCTTCCTGACACAGGAAAGTTTGACAGGAGACTTCAGCTGGTATGAAACCAACCTGGGGATATTCTTCCCTGGTCCCTGTTTGCAGTGGGTACCAAACTGATAGTCTGGGACACCACTGGACAGGCTAAGTCAGAGCAGCTCTCAGGCAGCACAGGCACTGACTAAGGACAAGTTCCTTCCTCAGTCAAGGCCCAGAAATGGCACCCAAGGATACAGGTTCCTTCCCAGCCCTGTTTTTTATCTGCTCTTTTTCATCAACAGCATTGAAAGATTTTCAAGGTAGCTCCTTCTTTCATGACATAGTTTAAATGGAAGCTGTAGCACTGTAAAAGCTGTGACAGTGTGAAGTAGGTATCTATTACCTTTTCTACACAAAACCCCCTCATTTTTGGAAATGCTATTCACAGTATGCATCTACACCTGAAAACTCACTCCACCTGCATCTCCCCCCACAGCAGGCAATGACTTAATGTGGACTTTCTATCTGCAGCCATTTTGAGTCTTCAGTGGAATGTGAAATGGAAGTACAGAAGGGAGTCAGAGACAGGAAATCAGGAGTCCTGCACAGTAACTTCACATAGGGTCAGCCAGGGCAACTGAACTAAAGTGAACTGTTGGACCATGAAAAGGTGCCCCCTCTGAGATGCAAAAATATGAAACCTATTAAACATGAAAATGGCTGAAAGGTCAGGTAACTCTTCTGATCCTAAAGCTGCAAGAATGTTTTGAGTAAGGATCTTGGCAGCAGAACATTTTTTTGCTTCATCTTTGGGGAAAAGCAGACAAAAAAAGAGCAAAGTGAAAAAAAGGGGAGGGTGTATGTGTGTGGGAAATGTATTTAGATGCAAGGATAGCAGTCTCAAGGGACAGTGGTGCGAGTAAATCTTGCAGGGCTCAGAAAGTAGTAAACAGTTCAAAAAACCCCAAGTGGTTACTCTGATGTCAGTCAACACTGACACCTCCTCTCCCTGAAACAGGCTTCCGCTACAGTTCTTTTGGCAAACTCTTTCTCACTGTGACTATCCAGGAGGAATCCAGTCTTTCCATTTCTCACCGTCATCCCTTCTAGTTCTCATTTTTTCCACATTCTTCCCCTGCACCCCGTACCCAAATTCCCATTGGCAATCCTTTAACAGCAAGAAGCTTCTTTAGTCAGCCATAACATGCCCCACAACAACAGTCTACCCACAGCTCAGCAGTTCCTAGATGTCCAGACCTCAGCCTTTTGCAACGCAGCTAGAGAGCGCTATGGTGATAAGCGAATTGTGGGGGAGTGGGGGCTTTTCACAGGCCTTTTCTGGCACTAATGGCAAAGCTCTAGGGGCGGAGCACGGCATAGCTGGGAGGCAGATGTGCACGCACAGGCGGGGGCTGGAGGGGAGCCTTGGGTACGCGGTGTTTCCGAGGGAGGTGCTGGCGTAGTCCGGGGTTGTTTGTGCGCCGGAGGGACCCACCCTGGTGACAAACCCAGACCCCAGCCGTAGGGGCCAGGCCAGAGAGGGCAGAAAGAGAGGGGAGCCGGCGGCGGCCGCTCTTACCTGAGCACTGGGCGATGTCGCAGGATCGCCGCTCGGGGATCCCGGTAGCGCCTTGGATGTAGCACCAGGGCGCGGCGTCGCCGTCCGGGTTCCTGCAGCTGTTGTGGTCCTCATCGACTGCTAGGGAGCAGCGGGGCCGTCAGCGCGGCCGCGGCACCCCCCGCTCCCCCGAGAGCCCCCCCGGCCTTCCCCCGGGCCCGGACCCACCTGCCGGGAGCGCGGCGCCGGGGCCGCTCCGCACCGTCAGCCAGTTGAGGCACGGGGCGCCGCCGGTGGCCACTTGCCGGCTGCCGCGGTAGGACGCGCCGTTGCCGCGGAGGCATTCTGCGGAGAGACGAGCCGAGCCTCGCGGGCGGCCCGAGCAGCCCCCGCCGCTCCGAGCAGCTCCCCAGCACGGCCCCCGCCTTCCCCACGGGGGTGTTCCCCCACCCGAGACCGGCCTTTGTCCCCCACAAAGCCGGGCCGGCACTCACCCTCGGCGCCGCGGGCGGCCCCCAGCAGCAGCGAGCCCAGCAGCAGCAGCACAGCGCGCAGCGCCCGCCGCGAGCCCCCGGGCAGCATCCTCGGCGCGGAGGGCGAGGAGCCGCCGCCAGCCCGGCCGCGCAACTCGGCTCCGCTCGGCGCCGCGGCGAGACCTGCCCCGGCGCTCCCCTCCCCGGTAAACAACCGCCGGGCTGCGCTTCCCCCCCCGCCCCGCAGCCGCCGCCGGGTCCTAACGCTGCCGCTGCTGCCGCCCGCCCCCAGGAGGGGAAGGGGCGGCTGCCGCGGGGCAGGGCTCGGGGCAGCCGGGAACCTGCTGCCGCAGAGGCTGCTTCGCCCCGGGACCGGTGCTCGGTGCCGTGCGGCTGTTTGGCTCGAGAGGAACTCCGTGTCCCTGGGCTTGTCTCCTACAGTCGCAGGAAAAGTCTTAGACCAGAAGAGGAGACTTTCCACACGGAACTACGCTTGAACAACTGCCTGTGGCAGGAAAAGTGTTTATCTTCATAGACCTAAAACTGTTCTCTCCCCCAGAGAATTATCATGAAGGACTAAATCCTGCCGACCTTATTCTCCCTTTGGGTTCCCTTAGATCTAAAGATGCGTTGTAGGGGCTACACACTGCCATGGAGGCTGTGCAACTCCACCTTAAAGGGGTTTACATTCTCGCCTCTACTAATCCATTACTTTTCACTGACTCCATGGACTTCCTCTAAGACCTGTGCTTGCTTATAGAGAAAAACAAGGTAAACAGCATGAAGGTGGTTTTAGAGTAGTTCTACTGCAGGTATTCAGCCACCCTGATAAAACCTGTCTGCAGACATTTCACACGGCTCGCAATAGATACTTCTGTTTCTAAACATGTCAAGGGATTCAGACAGTACAGTGTAAGTGCCTGTACACAGCATCTGGAGTCCTCAGCACTGTTTCTATTGCACCAGTGAAAAACAAGCCACTGAATAGCTGGTCCTGTTCAACAATAAGCTTGCAAAGGCAGCCTGGGCCAACTGATGGGTCTGTAGCCAAGGCACAGGCCTGCAGAACAAGGTGCTATTTCTGGCTTTCCCACAGAGTTCTTCCTGACCTTGGCCAACCTGCCTGCCTCACTTCTTTGCGCTTTCCCTTCCTTTCTGTTACGTGAGGTACAATCAAACCTTCCTTCTTAGAATAGGACAGGGAAGTTCCCTTCTTTTAAAGTTCATTGAAATCACATGGAAACCATTGAACGCATAAGAAGTCTTTCTATGTCAGGAAGCTGCTCCAGTGTTTTATGAATCACTTTTCAAGGCAGTGCTGGCTGGAGCAGGGGTCTTTCCCTTCTACTCCCAGATGTTTCCATCCTGGCAGTGCTCTCTGTCAGGCTGCTACAGGTAATTGTGTAACAAACCTGCTCAAACTTCTGATCCAACCCAGCTTCTGCCCCTTTTTCACCAGGTCATGAATGCTTTAAGCCCTTTAACAGCCAGGTCACCTGCTGCATCCAGTCTACAATGGAGCACAAAAACATAGATGTACCAGCATGATAGAGGGGTAATGAGGAAGCAGGTCAATTAAGCAGCACTACTGCCAAGTAGGAGACCACAGGTCTTAGGACACATTTGTGTGACTCGCACTTTAACAACATGATTTACCACTGCAGAAAATTTAGTTTAGTAATGTCAGATTAAAAAAAAAAAGATTGCAAAAAATCAAAACAGGAAACCAAAAACCAACTGCATGTGCCAGTCCTGACTGACATCACCAGCTAAGATGCAGCCTTTGTGCAATTATGCTCATTTTCTGCACAGACACCCTGCTACTGCATTCCTGATGTTCTCCAGTTACTCTCTGTAAAGACAAGGCTAACTGGAGTCAGCAAGAATTTTTAATAAGGGCTATTCAATCAAGCCGCCTGTTTGCAATAGCTCTTCATCAGATTTTATGAGACAAATTCCATACAGCAGAAACTGCAGAGCCACACATGCATCCAGAGGCACTGCCTGTCCAAAACTTTGCAGATGGACTGCCAACCTGCACAATTAATATCTTTTTGCTCATTTCGTGAGACTAACTAATGCTTCTATGCCCCCTAGCACAGAAAGCACCTCCTTCTGTACATACTGATACAAGAATTGCAGTAATCTCTGTGGAAACAAATCTCAGACCTTCCTAGCTCTCTCTCCTACTATGTAACAAGATAAATTTGCTCTTCTCATTACACCCAGCCAAGTTCCAGCAAACAATTTGAGTTTCTAGTCCACAGAAGGACAATGGGGAATCTGGAAGAAATGCAAAAACCTTCACATTAATGGTAAAGATCAAAGTCTTTTCCACAACTGACTTCTAAGCATATTTTTTTCTTTCATCTCTAGCTTTCTCCATGATGAGGGAAGATTTATGCCTGGCAGTTTCACAGAGTCAACTTTAATAGGATGCCAGGTGGCAGCTGTCAGAAGTGGACTCAATTGCTCTTTCCACTGCTTAGGAATAGGTTTGCTCTTCTTGCTACACTTTTAGAGATTAAACATGACATTATTTCCTATGACTTGATTTTAAACTACCCAAATTATAAGTAAGTTAATAGCTTTGCAGCTACTTCCTCACTTAGTTTACACTTAGATGTCTGTTGATATATACACACACATGTATCACAACATATCCCCACATTTTACAGGAGAATATATAGACTATTTTTAGGAATCAGGCACATTAAACATCTTCCCTAAACTCAGTGTGAACCAGTTTCAGCTGTGAGCTACCTTTCTTTATGCAAGTTCCAGAATGAACAATGCCTGCTTTCTCGCTCTCCTGTCTGTCAGCTGCTCGCTCTTGTTTATTTGTTCTATATTTTTACCTGTGGAAAAATTCAAAGTGTTTTGAGATTGAAAAAAACCAACTAAACAAACAAAAAAAGGAATCTAACAGCACAACACTCTGTGCCAAGGGAGGCAGCCCCAGATCTATAGCTCTGGAATGACTCTGCAAGGAGCCATCAAACCCACCCTCCTTCTCTGGCCATCGCCAAGTGTGTTGAGATCTTGCCAGGCAGAAGTTCATCTAACTTCCTATGCAAGAACTAACATGCTTTATTACTTAATCTTACTAAATAAGACTCTGAGGGGAGTAAACAAAATGAGTTTTCTAATCTGAGTAATCTTTCCTAGACAAATTAACACGGATTGCTTAAAATGGAAAAAGTTGACCATTGACCTCCTTGTAACAGGACATACGTCATGTTCCCCTAGCCTCCTTTCTTCTTCCCAGGTAATCAAAATAATTGTTCCAGTTTTCCCCAAAACTCCCTTTTCTCAATTTTCTGCTTCTTTCATAAATGACAATGTTTGAAATGACTAGTAGTACAATTCTGAGACCTCATCAGGAACAGAACATTAGAGCAGTTTGTGCTTAAGCTTAAAAAGATAACCCAATTTGTTCTTGTTAGAAAATGCCAATCTAAAAATAATTGTTTATTATTTGCACATGAGAAATGCGAAAAGGCAGCATCAAAACATCTGGAGATCTCAGTCAAAAAAGCTGCAAGCTTGAATGTTACTAAACACTGTTAAGTACTTGAGTACTTGTAACTCCAGCAAAAGCAGGGGTTTTATTTATTTTCTGCCTCTCTCTTGATCATGAAAACAACTCTGGGTCTCACCTGTTTAAAGGCTTCTGTAAGCAATGATGTAGGAATTGGAAACAAATGTGTTTAATTTCTAACCTAGATATAATTTTAATGTAATGAAAGAACATCAGGGCTGCAACAATAGGATCAGATATTGACTTTATGAAACTGAGCCGAGTATAACAAATATCGAGACAGAGGCAGTGACTACAAAGGAGTCGTTGTGGAGCGACAGGAGTATCTGCTGGCACTGTTGCATCGCGCTGCTGACATGCTCAAGGAGAGGCTTTCTCCTCCCCCTTCAGTCCGACAGCATAAGCTATTGCTAAGTAAATGCCAGCCACAGCCTCCAAGGACTAACAAGGAAGTCTGCAGAAGCAAAACAACCATATGCGATATTTGAACTGGTTCAGACTGGTTCAGAGTTTGCTCCACTAACTCCGAGTGCTTTCTCTGATGAGTTTTCTGTGTGGGCTGTATTAAAAGGCCAGAGGTTTCGAGAGGGCAATCTGGATCCTATTGTTTACTGGGGAGAAGCATTAAGAGATTACCACTAAATAGTCTCGGCAATCAGTGACTGGAGAAATTTCACACTGAGTCCTCTTAACAGCATAATATTTTTGTCCTTTTTTGACAAGAACTGCCCAGTGCCTTTCCAGTTTTCTCAGCTTTGCAGGACCCAAGTGCTGACAGACATCTCTGTTCACACCGGCCCACTGTAGCAGTGGTGACCTATGGATCATCCCTCTGCTCTTTTCCTGGCTACAGCATTCCAGTCTCGGTATCTGATCACAGACTGCTTTACCTGCTATCCAATGGGTGGGTGTGTCTCATAGAAGGATACTATAAAACCGGAGCAATATTGTTAGGAAGTGGGTACAGCTGTTTAAAGATGTTTCAGTAACCAGCTGCACTTGTTTTTGGTGGGTTGTTTGTTTGTTTGTTTTTGCTACAGATGCAGGCTGCTACTGACAAAAGCCAGAGCACATATTTCTAAGGGTGGAGGAAGGGAAGCTATTTTGAAAGATACTGTGATCTACTCAGAGAACACGTAAGTCTGAGCCAAGAACAGAAGCTTCACTCTCAGTTCTTTAACTGATCTTTGCCTGACCTTAGGCAAGCTTCTGCACTGGTTTCCCATGTTAGTATTACTTATGTCACAGAGGCAGAAATTATTATATATCTGCAAAGCGCTTTGGAAGCTTCAGACATCTAATACCTACCTTATGAAATGGTTCTGTAGGGGAAGGAATCCTGGAGACAGATATGCAGGACATGTTCTCAACTTCTACATGTGTAGTGCTGACTTAGATGGAAAGTACAAATAAGCATTAATGCAGGAATTCATTAGAATGTGTTATTTGGTTGTTTTTTAAGGTATAAACATATTTTTGTAACTTTCCTGTTTCTCAAACCACAGTTGTGTCCAGCAGCACCTGACAAAGCTATGTAGTCTGATAACCCAATTTGCTCTTGTTAGAAAATGCCTATCTAAAAATAATTGTTTATTATTTGCACATGAGAAATGTGAAAAGGCAGCATCAAAACATCTGGAGATTTCAGTCAAAAGGAATAAAGATTTCTGTTATGATACCTGTTCAAATTAACCTCCAGCGAATTGGATGGGATTATTAAATATCCTTCTACCAGTCTTTCACTCACCATGGAAGCCAATTCCACAGTGAAAGCCCAAAATTCTGCTGTCTAAACCTCAATAATAATAGAATATTACCACAGTAATAGTTAGATTTCATTGTGGAAAACATAAGGTTAAAGTTGCACTTAAATATGCAAAACTCCTACTCTAAAAAGCACTACCATTCATGTGACCTCTATCGCAAGCCATCAGAAAGGCTGAAGGTTATTAACTTGAACACATAAAAAAGCCAAACATGTATTTTCTTCTCTCCCTAGGGCTTTGGGACTAGGACTAGAGTCATCAGCATAAGAGCAGAAGCAGAGATTCATTTTGTAATGGGTCTCTGTAATTCAGTGTGAGCAGAGGAATCAGAGACCAAACCTTGCAGTGGAGATACTGCTCTTTCCTTATCAAGTGCAGGACTCAGGGACATTTACAATGCAGAGCTCACAACTCTGGATTTTCCTTCTTAGCTGACCTGAAAGCAGATAAAACCACTGGCACACAGGTACTGTGAAAGACTCCACAGGTGTTTATCTGAAGGCTGTGGGAGGAGTTGGTTATTTTGGGAAGTTGCCCTTTCTTTCCTGTTGAAGAAAGGCAAATCTGTGTTTTCTCTGGGTTGCACATATGCCATAAGCATGCAGAGATAGCTTTTTTTCATGACTGACATAGGCACGTGGACTTTTTTACATCTATTTACAAAAGCAAACACATTGTTCTTTTAAATATGTTTACAGAACAGGGCAAACCTCTTGTTAGTTTGGTCTTGAGCTTGCCATTCTTTTAGAGTGTTAAGGCTCCAACTGGGTAACACCATGAGGAGGTTAAACAAAAAGCGAGGAAAAAATAAAGGCTTAATAAAGTTCCACTCAATACTTGCACTTATTTCTTTAGTATTTAAGTGTGTGGAGTTAAAACACTGCATTTGACCAACACTCCACACCTGAGGTAGGCAGGCCAGAAGCAAAACTCTATATATATGATCTCAGTTTTATTTCACTGCCATTCAGTGGGGACAATACCAAATTTCACAGATAATTGTTACTCCATCCAGTTATGCTAAAACAAGAAATCCCACTACACAGTGCCAGAGAAAGTATTTCCTAGTTGAATAAGGCAATCCTGATACACAGTTTTGCAACCTGCCTGCCACACTATGAATTCTTACATAGAGCTGTGGAAATGTGCAAAGGCAGAACTGTCTCTGAAAAGGAGAAGATTTCAAGATATGAGAAGTCCAGGCCATCTCTGTGCACTCATGGTCTCTACTCTCCATCTCCAGGAAATGAATGCATGCAGCCTGCAGAGTTTAATTCTCTTTTGGTTTATTACTATTTAAAAATCAGGTTTTGTATCCCCTTCTACAGAGGCTTCACCTTCCAACAGAACATACAAAAAATACACACAATAGAAAAAAAAAGATAGGTAGGTAAGTTGCTTTATACAAACAGGTCCCTAAGAACCCAAAAAGGCTAAAACAGGCTCGGTTTCAATAGAAGCAGGCCCATAAATAGGCAAGAGACTTCATTCAAGTAGGGAAAGAGTCATCCATCCTCACCTAAGATCCTTTCTTGCTCCACTGAAGACAATGGGAGGATTCCCAGCAACTTCAGTAGAAGCAGGACTGGGATTCATCAGAGCCAATGGCAAACTTTTCTGCTCCTTCCCTTCCAAGGCACTGTCTCTTCCATATGGCGTGCAGCCAGGAAAAAATACCAGTTTTCCTGGCTCATCCCACACTCATATTTCAGTTGTTCACTCTACAAGACATCTAAGAACAGCCTTTTATTTTCTCTCTTATTCTCATATTTGCACTAATTGCAGCAAACTTTCAGATTACAACAGTACCGAAGAGAAATTCTGAGCCCAAGAGCAAGGCTTGGTTGATTCCTTAAGAGCCAGCAGTCAGTCTGACAGCTTTGCAGAGGGCATGTAAAATTTGCCTGGAGAAGGCACAAGTTTGTAGACACAGCAGCCAGAAAGGTATTAGCAAGCATGAGATTGATTTATTATAAAATCACTTACCCAAGGTCACTATGTAACTGCAGGATGCTCAAGAGCATTTATGGCTGCCAGTGGCTGCATGAAGTGACTCCATGGCCCACACGGAACACAGGAGCTGGGAGGGAGTCACTGGAACATCACTGAGACTCCAGTTACCGCTCTCCTTTAGCATATCTCAGCTCAGAGCACTTCCAGGTCTCCAAAACTGCAGCACAAGTATGGAGGCCACCCAGGAAAAGCTTCGTTCACATAAACCCTGAGAGCAGATCAACAGTGCCAGGCAGTCTTTAAATAAATTTAAGTATCACACCTTTCAGGAAAAATGTGGCCAAATGTTTGTTTAACTTTACATTACATCTGAAGTCAGTGAGGCCAAACATTTGTGACAGAGTTCAGCAGCATAACTGTGCAGCACAATTTGGTACATCAATTAAATATTGGCACGTTCTTACCCAAAGGTTATCATCATCTCATCTTACAGACAGGAACACAACACAGGAAGAGGCTAGAAATGACACAGAGTGTTAATTCTTGGTGAACAGGCCATCACTGCCGGCCACCACAGAGTGCACAGTTGTGGTTTTTCACTGAGGTGCCATAACCATTCCAACCATCACCACAACTCCTCCTCCTCCTGGGCTGCATCACTCTGCAGTTATGTCATAGCACTCTTTTAAAGTGCTGCTTTCTCTTTTTTCTTCTTAGCCAAATAGCTCCTGCTTTGTTTTACAGCCAACAGCTATTTGCAGAGGTGCACACATCCAAGGAGGCACCACACTGCACAGGACGTGTGGAGGGTGAGGATCAAAGCAGCAGGCACACAACACTTTGCCAGTGCTGGTGCTGACTCTGTAGCAGTACCTGTGGCTGCAGCCCAGGAGCACTGCCTGCCCCCCCTCTCTGCATCCCAGACTCAGTCCTCTGGAACATGCTGCCTTCTCACAGGCACAGGGAGCTGCAGCAGATTGGGCTGGAAGCCAAATCTGTTCCCAAGGGCTCATTCACAACAGCTGAAGGATCTTGTTTTGAAAAGGATGTTCAGGATGAAAAAACATGGCTCTTTCAAGAGACACTGGAGCCTTCCAGAACTTCTTTTCCTAGTGGGTTTATTTTTTTCCCCCTCTTTGCTCATTTGTTTTGTCTCTCAGGGTAGAACTGAGATTTACTCAGAGCTTCTGTGAGCTTCTCAGAGATTCACTATGAGCTTCTGCTCTGGTCAAATAAAACTCAGCTATTGTGCCCAAGAAAAAGATGAGCAGTACAAAGCTGGCTTAATTTACATTTGGGTATTGACAATGCTGTTAAGGTAAAATCATAATGCTGAAAAAGCCAGCACATTGTGTTGTTTAGTTCTTGCTCTCAGATTTTATACCATGGTGATGATTAAAAATATTTTATTTTTTTTGTGGGTGGTAAAGAAAAACCTTTCCTGTTTCATTACTTAAAATTTTGGTGGCTGTTTTTTACTTTGTCCATTTATCTCTCATGAAACCCAAGGAGAGCTCTTGCTCTCCATTCATTCTTCCAACACTGAAGTCCTTTGAAGTTTACTTTGGCATCTACTTCCTCAAGCAAGCACCTTAAAAAAAATTAAAGCTGAAAGTGGTATCCCACTCCCGACTCAAGACATAAGTTTAGATATTGAATTCTAGGAACAAAGATTTAGTGAAAAAACAAGACACTAAAGTTACAACAGAGCCTACAAAATCTAGGTTAGCTTTCATACTAGCAATTCAATTAGTTGAGTTATAGACATTCAGTTACACAGCTCTTCTATTCAAGTCATTCCTTACTGCTGACAGCAGTTGAGGGAGGAACAGTAATTTCAGGGAATACATGGGAAATAACAAATATTCCCTAAGTCACTGGCACTCAAACAGGTCTCAAATTGTGACTGGGCATTTACAATTATTCAAAAGATTGGTAGGAAGACCAACTCCACACCATCTTAATAGTTCTAGGCTTTAAAAACAAACAAAAAAGAAACCCATTCCCCCGATATATAATACTTTGCCCTACTATAATTAAGGCACTGGATTGAGAGAAGGAAAAATCTGTGTTCAATTTCTGGTTCTGCTATCGATTTCCCGTATCATCATGGGCAAATCACTCAGGACTGAGAGCTCACGTGCACATTGCCATGTGTCAGGTGAGCCACACTGTTTGCACACATTTAAGACATGACAAATGCAAAGTCATGTTACCTAATTTAACTCAGCGTGGAAAAAATCACATTAAATTGCTTTACCTTGCATTTGTTCTGGATTCACATTTATAAATTCAGGCAACAAAATAAGCCTGAGAAGTTTGTGCCCCCACATTTAAGACAACACTTAAGCATGCATGTAAGTGGTTTTTAGTCCTTTATCTTTCATTCATTCTCTTATAAGCATGTATTCCTTTCTGTCTTTAATATTTCGATTATGAATGATCAAAGATGTTTTCTTCGTACCTAATACACAAGGCTTGAGCCTCAGATGAGAGGTTATGAGACTCCTATAATACAAACAAGTACTACAAGTCTGATTATATAAATTTGCATGAACTGAAGTTTCCTTCTTGACATGTGCACCAACTCAAACATTGGCTCGCAGTCCCTCCAAAGGGGAAGGCAAGGAAGGGAGGGTGGCCCAAATCAGAACTATCATCTACACACCAATTAAAAATAAAATGTAATAGCAACAAGCTACAGCTCAAGGCATGTTACATACTTCCCTTTGAACTCTGAACTTGAGAGGCTGAGTTTTCTGTTTGGATCTGTCTCATATTCTATAAGAAACAGGCATTTCCCAAAGTACAGAATACAAAGAATTTGCATGTAGATTAAATTACTGTCCAAAATAGAACAGTATGCCCCTAAAGAAGCAAAAAGCACTGAAAACACACCACAGCTAAAGATCTGTCCAACTTCCTACTGGCACTAGCCTGCACCAGCCTCCTGTGTTGGTACAAATCTCTCCCATTTACACTAGGATGATCTAGAGCTGTCATTTCAGGATTGTTAACCTCCTGCCTAATTGTTTCCCTGTCTGCTAGACTGAGAAGCAAGTAGTTTTTATTCAATGTTTTCATGACAACTTAGTAAGCATTTTCTTTGACAAGCAGAATACACAGTGTTTTCGAAGGCTTTGTTTTCAAATAAAGGCTTTTGTTTCACCAGGTCAAATTCTGTAGCATTCAAAATTAAATTCTGATAGGTGCAGCCAAAATTCAACCCACTTGTAACACTAAAATCAATGTAGGATGAAAGTATTCTATACTCTGGACTTAGCTTTTGGAGTTGAATTTTATGATTAATGCACCTTCTTTGAGTGCATATAGGAACACTGGGGACAAAAACTTCTGTCTTTCAGCATACAGCCTCAGTTCAACAGAAATTTTCCTTGTGGATTAATTATGAGCTATTACTAAATCAGTGACTGCAGCTGCATTTGCTAATCCCAACAAATTGTTTTGCTGACTGGAAGGCCTGCTCTCTCCTGATTTGCTTGGCAGCTTATAAGGTTGTCTCAGCACTAGATTTGTAAGGTATTTTTAAATGTTTTCTCACTTTTCTAAGATGTTCTGGTTTTACCTGTCTACTAATCTTACCAGTACAAGAGCAATTCCATGAAGCTTTAGTAGTGGGGTTTGTTTCACTGGTTTTTCCTTTAAAATGAGGCTCACACCTATTCCAGGATTCTGGGAGGAGATGACTGGAGAAGAACATGTCCTTCAGTCTCCCAACACAGATTAATAGCAAAACATCAAGTCCACTGCAACATGCTCTCAATTTAGAAAGTGCTGGTGCTATAAAGAGAAAGCCATTGATTATTCATCCTTGATTTATAAGTCGAGAGCAAGTACAAAAAGTAGCTTCTTACAAGAAGGAATCTGGGTCTTCTAACTCTGTAGAATTTAGAATGTAATTCCAAAATCCATATACTTACAAAGGCCTCTCTTAATTCTAAAGTAAAAACAAATTGGGAATATCAGTTAAGCATCAGCTGCAGGGTTTGGACAGAAGCACCTGGGCAGTGCAGGCTGTGGTACAACACCACTTTGTGTCTCTGTGCATTACACAGACAGATCTCCTGCAGCAAACGAGAACCTGGCCCAAGAGGGTCCGTCCTGCTCCAGCACTGTATTAATGATGGAGATAGATATTGTTTCATGGGATGCAAGTTCAGTGCAGGACATGGGCTCTTCAGAATGGCCTTTTTAGAAGCATTCAATACACAAAGGAGTTTACCAAATCACTACTTAAACCTTTGCTCAGTAACTCTCCCAACAATTGTGATGTAGAGAAGATTCTTCACAGATATGAAAATAAGGAATAAATTCAGGTAACTGTTCTATGTGACTTTGAGCATCAACAGCAGAACCATAATTAAAACTCAGAGTATTCCTAACTCCTAACCCTGTGTTAAACAACATTTATACCTGGGTTTGGTACATAAAACCATGAGTAGTTACATGGAAGGAAAATGAGGGTCGAGAAATTACATTATTTCTGCATAAGCGGTATTTTCAGATTAAATGGAATGTCCAACAGCCTGAAGTGCAGCTTCTTTGCATTTTGTAATAAAATCTTTTTCAAATATATGCTGTTTGCAATTTCTTTTCATTTGGAAAAGAAAGGAGTAACAGTGGCTTTTGCAAACCTGACTAGAGACAAATCAGGAGAGCATGACTGGCCAAAAAGCCCTGCTCACTGAGAATACAGCACAGTGCAGTATGGGATTCACATATTATTTACTGGCTCTCATTTGCACACCTTTTGGACAGGTGGCTAAACTGCTCAAAAACCAGACAAAACGAGGGGATGCAAAGTAACATACTAACTTCTTTAATAGAGTCCAATCCAATTAAACCAAAATCACTCTGTGAACCCCTGGGTTTATTCACACTAAACAAGTCAGTGGTACATAGTGTTAACCCGATAGCTGATTGTGTTCATCCCCTAGGTCCCCACATGAAAAATGAGCACCAGTCAACCAGACTGTAATGGTATTTTTCCTTCCTTTTTTTTTTTTTTTTTTTTTTTATTTTCATAAAAACTATTTCTTTCATAGACTTAAAACAACCAACTAGCCAAGTTATTAATTATGGTACATCTAAAAAAAATAATCATACTAACCCTAATGTGACTGCTGCTTTACGAGTGCTCTGTGTATCGCCTTAGACTGGCTTTTCAGTAGCAATTCACTACAACAGGTCCTAAAATAATAATAATAATAAAGAATTAAAAACCTGACAGCAAGTTTAATGGTCAAAAGTAATAAAAACAACCTGTTCTGAAAGGTGATTTTTCTCAGCAGTTCAGTCCTGCTGCAGCACTCACCGCCTCACAAAGGCAGAAGGGGATCAAATTCTCTCACCTTCTTTAAATGTTTCTTGTTTTAAAAGGACAACTGCATTGTAACATTGTAACCTGCTAGGAACCATGGGGCGTTTTAATTAATGTTATATTCAGTAATGGGTCTGTTTTTTAAACTTACTGTTTTTCTGGGGGAGTTTAGGGAGGGCAGGGGAATAGAGAGAGAATAAAATCACAGCTCCCTGTAGCTGCAGCTCCCCAGGCGCCTCAGTCACTAGGTCTGTCTCATTCTCAGACCAGTGCTGGTAACTTTTGATTACTCTCAAAGAACACAAAACACCACCAGCAGCCTCTAAAGCTCCATTTGTTTTGGGTCACGTCTCCTATTCAAGGCCACCATCTTCTGTAATTTATCAGCTAACGAAGCATTTTCTTCCTCTCCCCAGTGAAGGTTTAAAGATGGGGTAGGGCATGAGACAAAGAAGGAAGCTAAAATGAATAAAAAATTCTCAGCTATAGAACCAAATTTCATTATTTCCTCTTTCATTCACAGCATCTTATCATTATAGCCAGACTGCTGCTTTGCTTTGTTAAGATCCAAGCGATCTCATTTCCCCTCTGGCCCCATTGGTTGCTGGTCGACCTCTGGATCCACTAGGGATGATGCAAATGCTGACTGGACGATCTGAAACCCAAACGACTCCAGGAGAGACATGTTCTGTTGGGGTGAGAAGGGGGATCCTAGAGCAGGACCCAGGTCCCCCAGTGGGCCACCAAGGGCCCTGACGTGCACTTTCTGTATGTGTTTGTTCAGATAAGACTTAGATCTGAAAAAGCTGCCACATTCGGGGCACGGGTACTTCTTCTCTCCTTCCATCTCCATCTTGTTTTTGCTGACTGCCAGGTCACACGAGAAGGACCCATTGGTGCTCTGTTTCTCAGGAGTCTTGAGGTCACTGGTGTCAGAGAGGTCTCCATATGAATCAGAACTCTCAATCGGGTCCGAATGTGAACATTTCTGGCCTTCTATGGGAAAAAGAAAAGAGAGAAGTTTTCAGAATCTTGGCTTCCAAAGGAAGATATTTTACATGCATTAAAATAAATTAGATTGGTTAACACCTCATCACATTAATGCCTGTCACAACAGAATGATACACACTTAACATCCAGTTCCTCATATCCTAAAGCCCTTGAGCATAAGTCCCTTTTCCAAACCACCAGGCTGTTATCACAGCAACAGCTGGGGTTTCATTAGGGATTTGTCATGGTTCTGAATGCAACCATAATGGGTCTCTGGTTCATATAACACTTCTTGAATCCCAAGGATGTCTCACAATATTTACACCTCAGACACTACAAAAGGATGGACTTAATGATGAGTTTTCAACTGTGCAATTCACTTGCACACTTCTGAAATGCTGTTGATACTTTGGGGGAGTGCCTAGAAATTTCATGAAGTACAAACAAGACGTGAATAAACCTGGAAACACTCAGCAAAACAGCGAGCTACTGCAATTTAAGAAGCGCAATTCCATTTAGTCTCAAGGAACTCTTTTTCACAAGTGCAACGCTGTTAGAAGTTAACTTCACAACCTAAAATTGTTCTGTCTTTCAATACTGCAGTGTGAAACAGCAGAGGGGTTAGGGACATTACTGAACTTATTTGGATATATTTCCTGGCAAAGCCATTGGTATGTTGGAGTCTTCCCCATTCTCCTCTGGCATTATGCCAAGGAAGTTTGTTCACACTTTTTTGCTCAGTGCATGTGAATGAGCGTGAGAAACCCAGACATGCTCACTAAAGGAGTCTCTGAATACAAACAGGCTGTACCTACTATGAACTCTAAGAGACCAAAGAACCACTTGGCACAACCCAAACGACAGATTTGCTCTGGACTCAGCATTACAAACCTAACAGGATATGCATGAAATCAATACACCACTGAGCTGGAATAAATCTCTTGTTAAGTCAGCACACCACCCAAAACTAAAGGGTTTCTGTAGTAACTCTATCAAGACTTCAACAAAAAAAAATTACACAACTCAAGCTTTCTGCTGGCACAGTGTTTGTTTAACCCAGCCCACTGTGTTCTCCTCGGCAAGAAAAAAAACAGAACAAACATGGCTTTGAAGAATTTTCTGATGTTTCACTTTCACCGGGAATACTGACAGCTCAAACCAAGAAGCAAAAACCTATCCTACACAGGTAAACACACTGCTTTACTTATTCAGAAGTTAAATACTCCTCAGCTATGCTTACAATAACATCTTTTTCTCCCCCCCGCCAAGTTAAATGAATGTCAAAACAAGAAAGCAACCGGTACTATTATCACCCTCCTCCTCTTCTCCCCAACAACTGCATTTGGAAGTGTAAGTTTAGCTACAGACAGCTGCCTGCACGTACAGTATGGCTCCTATCAAAACCAGAAACAGGTTTGACTGATGCGATTCAAGTGGAGTGGGACTAACGAATTTGCCCTCAGGCAAAATTCAGATGCTGACTGCTCCAAGGAACAGGGTCAAGATGAACAAAGATGGCTTTTTCAATCTTCCAAACTGAAGAAGCTGCCAAAGCTTCACACAGCCTTCTGCCCATTTCCTTCCCCTAGACTTGTTAAATCTGCCATCCAATGACAGGTATTACATCCTATGTGATGCTATGGAATTTCTCTGCATCTCCCTAAGCTTCTCTCCAGTATTTTCCCTGTCCTTCCTCCCTCCCCTTTCTCATGCCCAGCCCAACACCCCACAACACAAAGTTCTGCACAGAGCAGCAAGGTGCAGAGCAGCGAGTCTCTTGCCTTTGATGCCATAGGTCCTGACGCAGTGGAACGCTGCTCCCCCATTCGGGATGGACTCCTGGTGCCTGGAGACCTGGGGAAGGGGAACACCGTGGTGGGTTTTAACATGGACCTTTAAGTAGGAGGCAGAGGAGAAACCTAAACAAGATAAAAGGAGATGAGATCCTGCCACCAGCAAAGACACACATCTGCCTTCCCTGTTCCTTTAATCTTTCTCTTGCTCCTGCTCCCTATTTTAAAGCTGCTGTTCCACCAGTTCCCTCTGACATGCTCACGTAGGAGTCCTGTCATCCTCAGGCAGTAATGCAACGCACACTTTTCATCAGACTGAGTTTGCTTTCTGTTAGCCACAAAGAGAGAACAGCCTCCTTAAAAACAAATTCTGTGTAAGCAAACCTAGCAGGTGACATGAAACTTTCTGGAAAAAAAGGCAGAAGAGACATTATACAAAAAGGCACCCATGTCTCTTCACCATTTCTCTGCTGCTTTATTTATTTTAATTAAAAATGCTTTTGTCATCTGAAAATACATTGGAAGATAGTTGATTTTGTGATGTTAAGATCTGAAGGAATGCTCCGTAGTAACAATCCTTGCTGGTTTAGTGTGCTTTCCCCTTAGATTACTATAGCACTTATAGTGACTTCTAGAAGGCAGAAAGCTGAAACTATTGACTTTTTAAGGTATATGCTTTTGCTCAATAGTAATTTTTGAAAAACATTTCCTGCAGTCAGCTCACCCTGAGTTTTAAGAAATATACTAGAACTCATATTTCGTCTAGTTAACAAAAAGTACTAAAAATAAATTTCAGTATTTTTATTAGCTCTGATCTGTAAGCTCCAAACACTGAAAATAAAAACATATATATCAAACAATTGATTTCTGAACAAAACAGTGTTTTACATTTGTGCATGTGCTTTTTAAAATGTTTTTTTTAAGTCTCACAAATAGTTTTTCTTTAACACAATAAATTATCTCACCTCAATTCAACCTCAGTAAGATTTACAGTTACTACTAGTACATCTGGAGCATATACGAGGCACAAGGAGGACGAACTTTTAAAGACTTCCTACAGAGGTAAAGCTGCCACCACCAACCAGCTTAATTTTCTGTTATACTTTGAACAGAGTATTATGGCCCTTTCATGTTAGAAACATTTTCCACTAACAACTAAGAATACAGCACAGGGTTCACCATGACAGACCCAGAGTTGCAGGTTCCCCTTCTGGAGAGAGAAAACCCAAGCCCTAGACTTTTTTAAGCCAATATAGCATTTACAGCGCAAGTCCTTGCAAGAGAACTTTCATATTAATAATTTCCTTAAAATATGAGCAGATATTCTACCATAAAGCCATTTTTAGTGATATAACTGCATTTACATTTGATGATATATAATAATATATTAGGAATGCTGCAAACCAAATACTACACACCTCTCTGGGGTGGATTTTCTGACTGCAGCTGTTAGTTTCAGCTGCTGAATTTAATAATGAATGTGGCTTTACACAAGATTTCCCTGTGCCTAGCACACAGAATATGCCTCTACCTCGACTTTTATCCAGAGGTTATTAAGAATTATATATCCAGGACCTGCAAAAGCAAGAACTCCATAGCAACCTGCTGAAGGGAAAAGGGGCAGGCTGCTGAGAATGAACAAGAGGTAGTTACTGTGGACCCCTGAGTTGAAGATAAAAGTACAGAAAAGTAGACACATCACAACTGAAGAAACCAAGAACATACAGCTCTCAAAATACAATGGAGCAGAATCACCAAGGCCAAGTCGTCTGGGGAATTAATGTAAGGATATTATCCTCCAAAATAATGCAAGACCTACCCTCAGACACAAAATGCTGCATTGAAAATCTCACTGGGCAGCAAGAGAATATATTCTTACAAATGCCAAAAATTCACTGTAGAACCAGTCTTTGACTGGTGGATAAAAGGGCACAGTGTACAGATATAATGGTGACACTTCCACCTATGAGGTACTTTCCTTATTTCACACATGTGGCTAATAACCACATGCATGCTGAGATCAACCTCTTTGATGCAGTAATGCATTAAAATCTCACTGCCAAAAAAGGACTACATGCAGGTATTCTGTATTTTTCTACACCACAACTGACACAGGAAAGTCTGAACTTGTAATCTCCTCACACAGTATTTTTTCTGAACTCTGCAGTTCTTTTTGTAGAGTACATTGTTTTATATAATGAAAACTGCTGCAAAGTGTGTTAGTTCCCCTTTATGCACTTGGCAGATGAACATGTGAGTCATCAACTTCCATCAAAACCATAAGAATGCCAACTGCTTCATGGGAAACTATTTAAAGGGAGACTTTTTTGGGGTTGTTTTCATCCTAATTTTTTCCTGAAGCACTTAGCACTGGCCTTTTTATCTCCACCAGACTTTAATTATGAATGCCTGTCCTAGGAAGATGGGGGTTTACAGACCATAATCCTTCACTCTTAAAAGTCTCTTTCAGAGCAAAGTCAGACTAATCCAGAGGATGAAGTGGCAGTATTTTTCAGAGTAGGAATGTATTTATTGCTTTATTCATACACATCTCTCCACTTTGCAAGACAGGTTATTTCTTCATACCAGAAGAACCAAAATTAAAAACATGTATAGAGAGGAAATTATCTCCCTTTATATAAATGGGACCTGTCCCTTGATGTCTTAGATAATATCTATAAGGAGAGAAACTATAGAAATAATTACAGGATGCTGATGCTCCTTGTTCAAAAATTGTAATTTGGATTTAGCTGGAATATGAGGAGCATGTGGCTTTATTTACTGGACTCTATCCCCCATTAAATGTATAAGAACTCAGTGTGAAAAATAAATTCTCATTTGTGATTGGAATATTTACCCTTTTCCTAACTAATTTGATTCTGTGAAACAATGTATGTGTGTTTGAAACACAAACCCAAAGTTCTGAGATGCAGGTGTAATTGCTAATTACCAGCTTGAGACCTGCCAGAGTCATTAATCTCTTGAATACTTTGCAAAAGTCTACACAAGCAAATAAAGTTCCTAAGGATGGTAATAGAAGATTGTGTAACAACGCAACAGGAGCATTTCTTCTTTATTTAAACCGATTAAAGAGAATTTGTCTAAAAATGTGAGGCTTGAGCATTTGTTTCTTAAGCACATTTTAGACAAATTGTTTAGGGAAAAAAACCCAAAAAAACAACGACAGCTAAATACCAAACCAAAAAAGAAAAACAACCAAAACAAACCCAAGAATCCCAGGGGAAAAAAAAACCAAAACAACACAAAACCCCCCAGAATCACTTCACTGTTTCCCTGGTTTAACAAGATTTAATTGCTTCCATGATTACTCTAAGCATAATAACTTCGAGTGAGAAAACAACCTGGAAAAAAACCATCAAATCACAGCTGGTAGTTTTTTAAAATTATACTGCCACGTTGTAAAAGAAATAAACATGAGAAACAAATGAACCACATGACATGGCAAACTATTGGCTACTGCTTTCTGCCAGGTACGGAGCTGCACCCCCATCTCCTAAAGCATTAAACCTTTAAAACAACATGAGACACTTCATTAAGTTCCACAGAAAAGCCTTCAGTTCAATGGGATAAACTGAGGGAGTCAAAGTCCTTCATTAACACTGGGAATGTCACCTTTTCATCCACTTTTTTTTTTTTAAGTGGCTAACATCCAAAATTCTCTCCACAAGCAGCTTGAGCTTGTAGAGCATTCTTGCTTGACAATTACTATATCCAGAACCAGCTAAGCTTCAATTAAAAAATACATCAGCACATTAGCCAAGGGAAGAATAAACAAAACCTCTCCGCACAAGCACCTCAGCCATGTCACAGCTGTGATCAGGTTACTGTGTGTGGCTTCTGACTGCACCAATGCCTATCAAATACGTATTTCTAGTCCAGAAATTTTCCATTAGACTTCATATTGCCAGGCTCTACAGTTAAAAAAATAACTATTTAAAACAGTGAACATTATTCTTTGATTCCAGAACACTTGGGATTAAAAATTCTGCTGTCATTGATCATAAATCTATAATCAAATTTACAGCATAAAACGAGTTTACAACACAATTGTTTGACAAACCCAGTCCGTAGCTTCCCCTTCTTATGAATTTTAACACTTCCTATGAAATTTCACATTATTCATTATTACATTTTTTAAATCCTGATGTAAACTGAAATTCATAGCAGACAATTCTGACAACTCCCACGAAATACACAAACTGTAAGAAGAAAGTAGGTGCTTAAAGTTTGCTGTACAACCGATTCCCTATCCGTCTACAGAGAAGTATATATTTTATTTAAATTCTCACTGTACATTTAGACTTGTAAAATGTGAATAAACCACTTAGTCATTTTATTGTTTGAATGCCGGGTCTGTCTTTGTCACACTGGCTCCATTTCCAAAGAGCTGCAGTGACATCCAGTGGTAGTTAAGTTGAAATTCAAGCTTACAAATCTTGGAAACAAGACAATTCCCATCTAGCTTCTGTTTGGCACTACTTTCAACGGAAGGAGAGCAGGAAAGCACCTGGATCTCCAACAATATCTTCCATGTTGTTGCCACAAAAAGAACTGGGATAAGCTTAAGCTGTTTTTCAGAAGCCAGGCCTTCAGCTGAAAAGGAGGGCAAGCTTCATTTCACACCATCTACCTGGAGCTTCAAAATCTGAAGATTTTCAACCCAGATGCCTTTTCCATTCACACTGATACCAGCACTTTCAGGATTTACAGACTGTTCACCTGGAAACACCTCCCTTGCAATTTAATGCCTCATTACTCATCAACTCCATAAGCTCCCTGAACAGTCTGCACATTAAACACAGAGGAGCTTTATTTTCTCAAAAGATTTCACCTCTCTTAAACTAGAAAAAAAGAACATGTCAGGAAAAAAGACTAATCAGAAAAAACAAGATCCCAAAACACAGCAGCAATCTCTTCTAACACCTACTAGCTACGTATACTTGTGTGAGCCAAAAAGACTTTTCTGAAGCTGTGAATTAATCCCTCAAAAAAAAAAAAAGACACCAATAAGTCAAAATAATTTTTCCAGCTTGCCTTACATCCCACAAAGCCTAAACTTCCAACTCTCCCCAACTGAAGAGTACCACAAAGAGACGGAAAAGCTTCACAGATTTAGTCATATGGTTTAGTTTTACATAGTGCTGCATAGAGCAGGGAGCTGGACTTGGTGATCTTTATGGGTCCCTTCCAACTGTGAAAAGCTGTATTTGTACAAATAAAGGTAAACCACATTTCTAGTGCTCTTTACAAAGTATTTTTTATGCCTGTACATTAGTACAAAGCAGTTGCTTGTGTTAAGAGGGAGAAGCAGCTTGACTCTATTGCACCAGGAGGTTAAGTAATACTTAGTAATACAATGTAGATTTATGTTCAATGTACGATTCTCAACTTGATGTGTATTTCAAAGACACAAAAACATTCTTCTTCCAAACTGACTGCAAGGGCTCAAATCTAATCAGGTATAGAAAAAAAAAAAAAAAAAGAAGATGTATGTTGAACAGCAGCAAGGCAACTTATCATGGTTATTGTATAGGGATCTGGCTATCTAGCAAATAAAATTTGCTTCAGATTTAAACTGCATTTCTTTGGGAACTATCTGCCATGTGAAAAGGCCAGACCTATACTCCATCAGTTTCATGGTTAAGTATTCAGTAGGAAAAGCAGAGTATGTACACAAATAGGGTAAACCTCCTCCTGTTGCAGAGAGTCATGCAGCCTTACAGCTCCTCTTAAGTGCTGTCCCATCCCAGTGGAATAAAAAAATAGTTTCTTCATTACCTCGGTTACAGATAGTGCAGAAATTGCTTGGTCCTTCACTATGCTTCTTCAAGTGATCTGCCATATATGCTGCTCTCAAGTACTTCCCACACACCTGGCATGGAACTTTGTCTTCATGACATGCCAGGTGTGAGCGCAGACGGTCACGCGTGGCAAAGGAAGCATTGCAAGTCTGCAGGTATAACAAGAACCATGTGACTCGTCAGCTCTGCTAACAGCACTGATATTGTTGAAGATATTTAGTATTCTTTAGAGTAAATACCTTAGATACTGTGCAAACAAAATTACATGATGCACAAGCCATTTTCCCCCAGATAAAAAATTCAGAACACCAACACCTTGCACAAGATGTAATGTTACTACTCAAAAGAATTAAAGCAAGAAAACAGCTCTGACACACTACAGATAGTAAAACTTACACCAAGATAGACTTGTAAGGTTTTAGCTCCTTTCTGAGGATGAAGATACTAAAATTTTAAGTAATATTTAACAGAAGAAATAGCAGAAACCACTTTACTCTGTTTACAATAAATTCTGCCATTTCACTGAGCCATTATGGGCACTTTAAACCACTCAAATGCCCTCTCTGTCATTTTCCTAAATTCTACTCTTTGATGAGCTAAATCTAACTTCAGTACACAGAATTCTATTGAAGTGTGAAGACATGCAAACAAAGGATAACAGAATTATCTGGGATGACAATATGATGCGAGACAGTAGAAGAGTCATCCTGGTATCCACAGCAGCAGTGCAGACAAACAGTACAAGTGAAGCCTCAAAACTGAGCAGGTATCAAAATAACTGCATGACATTGTAATCTGTTTTAACTTACCCTGGTCAAGGTATCATATTCCATTACTGCCACAAAACAAGCTTGATTTGGCATAAGATAATTTTGATTCTATTTGCCCACTTTCCAGCTGAAATATGTATAATAAGTGAAGGTTCCCTCCCATTTTTATAACCCCAGCAATGGGCAGGCAGGCTGTGCCCACAGCCTGTTCTAGCAGCCTGCCAGTTCTGAAAGGCTTGCTCTGTCTCTAATGTGTGAAGGGAAATAAATCACCAGCAATATGCTGCACAAGGGTTTAGGGTTATAGTCTAAACCATTTCACAAGTGCAAGAGGAGAAACAAAAGCAAACACACATCAGAACGACCAGACTAAGCCAGAGCAGTGCCATTCAAGAGTGTACAGTGTTTTGCTTACACCAACTTCATATAAAATAACAGTTTTAAGAGATATAACCAGAACCCCCAAAGAAGTAATTTGAGGCTGTTCACTGTCTTGGTAACTGGGTATATGCTGTATTTTTAAATATCAGTGTGTAATTAAACCATTATTTCAATAGAGATAAGACTTGTTAAAGTAACAATCTTAGTAAAATTCAAAAATTATAATTCAAGTAAGTGGAATTGATAATACAGAGGAAGATAATGTAATTACATAAAATTCAGTTAATCAAGAGCTTAATCCAAAAACCATTGAAGGCAGCTGAAAAGCACCTATCAATTTCAGCAGGCTCTACACTCATTCAATCCTGTGAGATGCTTAAGTGTGGAAAACTCCTATGAAGCTGAGGCTGCTCTGCAGCAAGTACAAGACTTAACACCCAGAGGATCAGGACTTAATGAAATTGAAAAGGCAACAGTAAAATTATCTGGATTTCTGCAACATACACAGTTTAACTAGGCCCACCAGTCAAAGATTTATAAATTACAAGTATTGAGGTTTAAGAGGCAAATTCTTGAACATGAAAGATGTCTCTTCATTTGTAATCTCAGTACACAGCGCTGAGCAAAACAGGTGCAGCTTTCACTTATTAAAGCTTTCTTGGAGGTAAGCACTCTCTTAAGGCAGGATTGCAGCACTGATACGAATCAATCTGCTGGGTATCAACTAAAGATATATGACTAGACTATCAACAATGACAGCCAAGAGATCCATCATCAATAACTCTAAAGCTATGGAGCCACAGGAAGGTCCATACCCGAGCATTGGGAGTGCATTAGCCGATGAGAAGCAGACCAGAGACAAATCACATAAATACAGCGATGCCAGAAGTAAAACCAAATTTATCCCACAGTGAACTTAGCAAGTTGAAAGCTTAGGCAAAAGCAGTACAATAATTCATGTGTTTGGTTTCTCTCTGTTGCTGCTGAGTTGTGTAAAGCTCACCTTTGGATAAACTATATAATAAATATATCTGCAACAAAGCTTAAAAACAATAATTAAGTCCAGTGGAGAAAGCAAGAACTAGTTTAGCTGAATCATAACAATGGGAGACAGGACTAGGGTTAAAGAAAATCCCAAAGTTAACATTCAAATAGTTAATATTTATAAAAGGTATAGAGAAAAAAAAAGTTTTATTTTATGAAAGATGTGAAGGGCTAAATGAGTGCTAAGTATTTGTCATTAATTGTTAATCATAGAAGAAAACTCTTCAGTGTTTTCCTATCAAACATTGCACAGGTATATAAATAGATCAAAAAGAATATATAAAGTTCAAAAAACATTGTTTAAGAAATACCTCTTGAAGTTTCAACTTTTCTATGGATGTGGATGTCTCTGAGCTTATTCCATGGTGGCTGCCATTTTCCTGCTAATAGGCAGGAAGTAAGAGAAATTAGGACAGGAAGAAACTCATTCTGCATTGAAATCAATGGGATACGCACTGGACTTGGGATGCCAATTAAGTTGTGCTTTAATTTAACCAGCATTTTTATTTTTTATTTAATTTGCCTGATGAACAACCTGTCTTGTCTCTGAGAGGAGCAAACTCCTGTTTTCTCCCCTTGTTCTTTCATGTCCACAGATTTTCAGATCACCGTTTGCTCCCAAACTGCAGCCTGACTTTCACAGATCACACGCCAAGGCCGACAGCTTCACCCCGTCCTGTGGGGTCAGGAACTGAGCTGCCCCATTCTGGCCATAAAACTGACTCCCTCCTTCTCCTATAGCCAGAACTCAGCTGTCAAACTGGGGAAAAAAAGTATAAATTCACCAGTGCAACAATCCAAGGGAAAAGATCCAGAGTGCCATTTGCCTGGACACCAAAGCAACTTCTTAGATCTGATTTCTCAGCTGCTTTGGCTCTGTGGAGATCTTCCCTAATCTGAGTTTATTTTAACAGTAATGAAAAAGCTGGAGACAAGACTTTGGCATCAGGTGCTAGAGGTGCTGGAAGCTAGGATACTTGAGTAAGATCTGTGAAGCACAGCCATTATTTCAGGGGGATGAGTGCAGGATTACAAACTGAGCACTAAAAACTACTGCTGTTGCAGGGATGTTCAGCTTAAAATTATCCTGTTTCTCATACTTTCATTTATTCTGAAGTTGGGTTGACACCTTCCCATTTTTGTTTTTGTACTCCAAAGTGTACTGTGATGCCACACCAACAAAACATTATATATCACCAGTTTGTAAAGACACCTCAGAGCTCAGGTAAATGGCCAGTTTGTTTAAATCATAACAGAGCACAAATTCCAAAAATGCCATCACAGCGGAAGATTCTGGACTGCTCTGCTGTTTATTGACAGAGTAATTCTCTTTCCTGGTAAACATAAACAAAGCACAACAATAACAGGAATTTTCAACAGGATCTGAACAGATTCAAAAAGGATGCTCAATGCTGTTCAGGCTGCTCTCAGGGGGAGCTAATTTGCCAAACAAAATCAATGGAAAAAGACAATGGAAAATGGGCAAACAACATGCCAATATTAAGCTACTTTCCTTCTTGGTGGCCAGATCCTGTGTTAGATACATATAATGAAACAGATGTGTAACTGATTATGAGATAATCACAAGGAGAATATCATCAATTTATTCATCAGTTTTCATATTTGAAACAAGTTTTCAGTGACTGCATCCCTTCTGTGGTTTCTACAATATATAGCAGATCTGTGCATATTCAAGAAGACTTTCTAAACCTGACAGGATATTGCAAAACATTTTCTGCAAATACACAACAAGTCATTAACAAATTTTCAGTGCTTTAAGATTCACAAAAAATTCACTTTGCAGGGCTAAGCAATCAAAACTCAAGGACAACCCAAGCCTGAAGGATAAATCTCAACTCTGCCTTGATGATTGTAACCTCTAGCCTGTACCTTTTAACTGAAATGAACAGTGTATACAGCATTATGACACTTTAGATAACACACAGTAAGAAAGACTGTTCTTGGAAAGTGCTATCACAAAATACATGTGTCTAAGGAAATGGATTTGAGCTTGGCTGTGCCATCTTAGCATCCATGTTTCTTTACTTCTGAGCTCTTAGTGTATCCTCTGATTTACACGGAGCTGATATTTAATATTCTTAAATCAATGTTAAACTATAAAAGAATAATCAGTCATCACCTGGCAAAGGACAATTCATAGCTATCCATGTTATTTGTAAACAGTGTTCATCCAGTAATCTTGGGATCAACTAGCAAAAGACTGATGAGTGTCTGTTCATGCTGGGACGTAAACATTCATCATCAGCTCATCCACAGACCTCTTGCTGTCCCCACACTGTGAATTCTTTTTATGAGTGGAATTTTCCTGTTTGTATAAATCTAACCCATAAATCATCTCAAGACGCTTGAGCCAATCCAAAGCTTTATACAGGACAGGCAGTTAAATCAATGTGGCAGCTCTGTGGCCTGACTTTCAAATGTGCTGGGCTTTCACAGATCATATGGATGTCAACAGAAACCTTTACATGGCTCCAGCTGTCTAGAAAACTTCTCAGGATTCTTAAAATTTCAAAACGTTTCAAAACTCTCACAGTTTGAAGGAAATATAGGTGTGTCAAAACGTGCAACAATGCAGATCAGGAGGCAGCAATCATGTAGGACTGTCTAGGTTCATAAAACATGGTTAAATATTTTAGAAGAAAAAATCCTCTAACCTTCACTGTCCCCAAAAGAAAAAAAAAGAATAGAATCTTGCTTCAGCTTCTTTAAATAAATATTAAATATTTCTTCAGAAGCCAAGCATGGACATTGTTAGCCCAACAACTGTTTTAAAAGTTTGTCCAACATCTCTCTGATGGCAATGTGTGATGGTGGAAGCTGATTCTCAACTTTGTTTTAATTGATACTTCCAGGCACCTTTTAAAATATCTGCCTTTATTTGATCTTTCAAACCTTATTAACTGTAAAAAACTATATACAATATTATGACATTGTACAACAAAGGATATTGTGATGTCATTATTTATATTCTCCCTGAGATAAAAATAGCTTCCAATTTTGCTCAGTGCAATGTTCTGAAGGCTATGCAATTTTAAAAAAGAATATCTTGACATGTTATGATAATTACAATTTACTCATTTTTTACTGAAGTTATTATAAAAAAATGGAGTCAGCATTGGAGCCTCCTGATGGCAACAACTGCAATTAAAAAAAAAAGGGAGGGAATCATCAGTGACATCAATTCCAAGCCCAGGTGGCTGGGTAAGAGATCCAGGGTGAGACTGGGACAGCACAGTAGGGAAGAACATGTGGTAGAAGGGGAGAGGCAGGAGGACCAAAGCTGTAGATGAGGTGAGGTGGGAAGGGAGGGATGTAAAGCAGATGTCACTGTGGAACACTGTTCTTTACAAACATTTATCCCAAATCACATATACATGGTATTTCTACTGGTACTTCAAAATTGTCTGCACACATAAATGAAGTGCCAAAGATTACCCACATCATCAATCTAAACCCCTCTGGCTCCTACCTGACACTTGTGAGGTCTCTCTGAGGTATGCACCTGTTTGATGTGTCCATTCAAGTGGTCTGGCCTTAAAGGAAAATACATATAAACACACTTAAAACAAATACTAAAAATAAAGTTACAATTTTAACAGGAAAAAAAAAAGAAAAACGAAAGAAAAAAAATCCCCATGCTTAGTATCTATGACAATTGTAATGATATTTAACTTTCCAAGTCCCAGCAAATAACTGGGACTCTACCTTGTTATGTACCCTCTGCAACTTGCTAAAAAGGCAGCATTTTATCAGAAAGGAATAATGACTGAATGTTCAGAGGAAACAGGAAATAAAAGTTATGATTTTCAAGCCTGCATGTCCCCATCCAAAATCCTATTTAGACCTTAACAATCAGGACACTGTGATTTACAGTTGCTGAATATTTGAAAATCACACCCTTTTGGTTTTGGTCCTAAACACAGATTTAAAAAGCCAATTTTAAGCACCTCGTGCAAAAAGACTATCTAAACTCTGTTGCTGTGACACATTTTCCACCTGCAAGATGAAAAAATACTCCTGACTTAAAACTTGGTAGGGAGACTGCATCAATAAAGTGCTCTGAACATTCCAACTAGAAGGTGCAATGGAAGAGCAAATTTTACTGTAGGAAGTTAGACCATGCTTCACAACCAGCAAAGCCTAGTTAGAAGAAGAAAGGACTTGAAGAGCTGCAGATTGTCCTGGTGGGAGTTTCTCCTAGTGGGAAGAAAGCTTTTCATTGTATGAGACCAAAACTGCTTGGAAACAAGTTCTCCACCCTCTCCTCCCCCAACTTCCCAGGCGCACCAATGAGAGGGCACGGGATGGAATTCACGCACTGCAGACAGAAAATAGGCTGGACTGCGCGGGGCGGCTCTTAAAGCCGATGCTCCAGCGCTGGGCTGGAGCGGTGTAACCGGACAGACTGGTTGGGGTCCTTCTGGGTACCTCAAGCCCAGCAACCTCACGTGCTGCGCTACTGAATACAGGAAAGGACATCACGCTTCCAGCTTCCTCTGGCTGCTCCTGAGAGGGAATACTGAAACTTTTAAGAGTCTCTAGTTTTCATTCATACTTCGGTTTTACAGATACGCAAACGGTTTTGTTGTTAACTTTTGTAACAGCATTCCCGCCTGTTCACATGATCTTACTGGGGAAAATAAGAACTACACGTGTATGTCTCACTTCCCCTTAATGACAAAAACCTTTCATACAGCAACAGCCGAAATCTTTAAGTGTCAGTAAAAACAATAAAACTTGGCACGCGGTCCCGGGTAGCACTATAGTAAGAAAACTACTTTCACTTCTAGCCACAGATGAAATTTTCATTTTGTGACCTTCCATCACTCAATCTGCAGTCCTTATTAAGATGCATCCCTAATTACTACCGATTTAAAAGAAAAAGGGGGGGAGGGGTTGGGCTACATTTTCATAATTTATTTCAATAACAGAAAGTCCCTTTATCAAAAAGCAGGGACAAAATTCCACAATTTACACAGCCTGGTGGCCGTTTGATTTGTTTTCAGATCTCGAGTCCTTCCCTCACGTTAGAGCAAATCAACTGCTGTAGAAAACCGACTGCTGGTACAGAAATAGCAGAGCACATCCCCCTCCCCCCCACTACTTCTACACTCAAAGCCAGCGGCAAACTTCCAACAAAGTTTCTGATTCATTAACTTAAGACTATAAGATACCACTAACACAACTACGTGTACCAAACTACTTATTAAATTAGCTCCCACAAACAGCGACAACAAAAAAATCAGCAACATTAAATGCACAGATCTTACGTATGTTGCAGGGCAGAAACAGGATCCCCTTCAGAAGGATGTAAACCCAAAGGACACAAAGATCATGTATTAAAAGATACTTGATGCTGCAGCCTTTGAAATCTCACCTCTTCCTTCACATTTGGGTGATAAAAAACATTACGAACTAAGAGAAATGAAGGGAAGTTAAGAAAAAGAAAATTTAAAATGGATACGAGAAAAATAATAATCTTGAGATGTATTATTTTGCACTTCAACAGCACCTTCAAGCTACCTACACATCAGCGATCTCAAGACACTTCTGTGAGGCAGGTAATTATTCAATACCCATTTCACAGAAGAGTCGTTTGAGGGAGAGACTAACTGACTTGCCCAAGGACACGCATACACCAACTCTGGGACAAAGCTGAGAACCGTTAGCCAGAAGCCAGCTGACTCCCAGTTCGATGTCTTAATTACTTTTAAACCTTTCCAAGAGACTGGAATAGCATCTCAGAGGAAATGATGGAAGTCTCATTCCTTTAAACATTCTAAAGTGGGACAGTCATACTACCCTAAGCACATTTCCAAGAGATAGGAAAGTCAACTTCCTAGGTCTCTGTTTGTGTCCGTGGTCCACACAAGCACTCTCTTACCTGGAAAAGCCTTTTCCACAGCTCTGGCAGATGTAGGGCTTTCCCACAGAGCCATCATGCGATCGAACATGATAGGACATCCTGTCTTTTCGTTTGAACCGCAAGCCACACACCGGACAAGAGTAAGGCTTTTCGCCAGAGTGTGACAGCTTGTGCCGATTCAGGTGGTACACGTCCCGAAAAATCTTGCCACAGATCTCACAGGCCACCTGTTTCCTCGTCCTGCTTCTTTTTCGAGGTGCGTCGGGGTCATCCTGACCAGGAACACCATTTTCACCCAGTCGTGGGGGTGGGATGTCTATGTAGCCCAACTGTAAGCTTGTCACCCCATGTTGAGCCTCGTGCTGCCGAAGACGATTAGCATCCGTGAATACTTTCCCACAGAGACCACAAGGCAGGATACCAGCCTCCCGCAGGCCCCCTGGGGTACCAAACATCATGGAGTCCAAGAGATTGGCTTTACGGGGACGCCCTCTGCCCCTCTTGGTGCTTAAAGTGGGGGCGCTAGCAGCAACATTCTGGAAGGGTGAGGCCAGCAGTGGTGGGGATAGAGGTCCTGCCACCATGGGCAGGCGGTCCACACCCTGCAGGACAGGTAGGGAGGACTGCGCAGCAGTGAGCGCAGCCCGCGTGGCCTCATCTTCAGGCATGCCAGCAATGCCATTGCCATTGGGTGCCAAAGTGGCACCGTTGGTCATGTCAAGAGGGAAGCCGAGGTCAGCAGCACCCGGACGGAATAGCATAATGTCAGGGCGTGCGGGGGGGACGAGGAGCTGCACGTTGGACTGCTTGATGACCTCCTGGCAGATGTCGATCACAGAGCGCATCAGCAGGAATTTGGCGGCCGTCATGAGCTCCGGGAAGCTCTCCAGCCGCACCACGATGCGCGACGTGTAGGCGAAGTCCAGGATGTCTCCGAACACCTTGGAGCTGATGGTGTGCATCTCCAGCTCCCGCCCGCCCCCGGGGGCTCCGCCGGCCGCCGCCGCAGCCCCGCCGGCCGCCGCCTCCGCCGCGCTCCCCTCCGCTCCGCCGCCGCCACCACCTGCCCCGTCGCCGAGCTGCCCGCTGAACACCGACTCGAAGTACTCGCTGCAAGCGGCCAGCACGGCGCGGTGCGCCGGGAAGCTCTCGTCGCCCACGCGTAGGAGCACGTCGCAGAAGCGGCCGCCGTTCTTGCGCTGCTGGTTGAGGCTGTGCAGCACGTCGGCGCTGTGCCGGCTCACCTGGTAGGTGTAGCAGCCCGACGAGGGGCCGCAGGCGGCGGCCTCGCTCACCCGCTCCATGGGGGCTGCGCCGCCCCGCCGGCGCCCGCAGGGGGCGCGCGCGCTCTCGGGCCGCCCGGCGGCGCGCGCCGCCTCCTCCTGCTCGTTCCCCGCCCCTGCCCGGGCCGGCGGCGCGCGCGCGGCGCTCCCTGCACGGCGCGAGGGGCTCGCGCGGCGCGGGGGGGGCAGACAAAGGCTCGGGCGGCCGAGGCGCGCGCGCGGCCGCGCGAGCCCCGCCCGGGCCCGGCCGCCACGAGGCGCTGCGGCCGCGGAGCCGCCGCGGGAAGGGGCGTGCGCGGCGCGGCGGCTGCAGCCGGGAGGGACGGGGGTCCGGCGGCGGCTCCGGGCTGCCGGCTCCGTCCGTCCCTGTGTGTTTGGAGCGGAGGAAAGATGGCAGCGGCTGCACTTCCTCTTGCACTTTCACCCCTGGGGGGAGGAGAAGGAGGGGGCGATACCACCCCCCCTACAAAAATCCAGCGGGGGCCCCCCGGCTGCTGCTCCCCGACCAAGCGCCGCCGCCGCCGGCCCCGGTCCGGGCCCCGCCCGCTTCGACGCACCCTCACCACCGGCGCCGCAAACTTTCCTCTCTTCTTTGGACGAGAAGACCCCCACCCTATTCACAGAGACCCCCCCTCCAGCCAGTCGGGCTCCCCCCCTGCCCCCCCGCTTCCTGCCCCCCTCCCTCCCCGCATCCGCCAATGCAAGAGCAGCCAGAGCCAGCAGGCCGGCCCCCACCCCGCCCGCCCGCGGGGGCTGGGGGCTGCAGTCTCCCCCTTCCCCAGCACCGATCCTCCAATGCCGAGCCGGCAGCGAGGCCCCCCCCCCTGCGGCTCGTGGGGGTGGTGGGGCTGCGCTCGCCCCCTCCCCCAAATATCCGGGCTGCAGCTCGCCCCCGAGACCCCCCTCCCACTGGAGAGAGGAGGAGGGGCCGGCGGGGGGGCTGCAGGCAACCTTCCCCCCTCCCCAGGCGCGAATCGTCCAATGCAAACCCTCCCGGAGCTGCAGAGGCGCAGAGCGGCCCCCACCTCCTCGGCTCGCCTGAGGAGAGCCGATCCCAGAGGGGCCAGGGGCTGCAGCGCAGACCGGCCTCCCCCCGGTCTTTCATTGCATTTCTCACCCCCACTCCCCGTACACGATCAACTCTCAGCCTCGCCAGAAGAGCGAAGCGCCGGCATTGTGGGGGAGGGAAGGGGTACAGCGGGAATTCTTCCAGTGCGAAAATGCCCTCCCCTTGGGAGCGGTTGGGAGGAACGGTACCCGCGGGCCGGGGGCTGCGGGAAGCACGGGCACCTCAGAGCCCCGAGCGCGTCCATGTTGGGCAGAGCGCTGCCCGCGGAGCCCCTCCCGCGCACCCGGGGTTCCCACGGCGCCCGGAGCGCCCCACGCCCCAGCGCGGCGAGGCTCCCGCTCCCTCAAGTTACCCTTCCCCGGGCCCAGGTTAAACGCTCCAAAAAGCACTGCCGAATTCACTGCGCAGGGTTGTCTGGACTGTCCTAGTGCTGAATCTTCCCTGTGTGCTCGAGGTCTCTTTATGAAGAGCTGCTATTTCAACATCATCGTTATTCATTTGCATCTGAAATCTGCTTTCTGTCTTAGAGAGGAATTTTTCTCTACTTTTGAAGAAACATCTCCCCCCCCCCCCCCCCCCCATCACACACACACATTCTCCAAATAGAGTTCTTTGTTTTGTTAAAGACAACGCTTGGAAAAAAGTGTTCAAGGACACTTTTTTGCATTTGTAACATCAAGCTTAATTAAGAATGCTCGAACCACCTATTCACGATCTAATATTGTCACTTAAACTATTCTGCGGAAAATAGTGAACTTGGCGCATGTGAGGGCTTCACAAACTCACAGCCTTCCAAAAGCTCCAACCCAGCACTTGAATTAAATAGTGGTGGAACTGAAAAAGCATTCTGGGTACTGATGTGCAAATGAGTGCACCAAGCTTCCAACTTTCAAAATATTAAGTTAACACTTAAGGCCACACAGTGCCCTCAGCCTGTACACCAGATTTCTTATGCTTTCCATAGAAACTGTTTGTCTCTACTGCAGTCAGAATATTACCAGTAACTTTTTTACTGCACTTTGTGTGGACACACCCTGATATGAACATCTACTTTGAGAAATTCGACGTGGAGTGGTAGCAATGCTGACAAACCCAGCTTAAATACACTCTATTATGTAGATAACACAGTGCTTGTGTACTCTTAAATCTGTGTGCCGCAGACACACACAAGTTGTACTTGCTACAGTGAAGAAAATGATTATGTTTAACTCACTAGCCAGGCTGCAAGCACAGACAGCCACGGAGCAGTTAAAGAATCTGGAATTTGCTTATCTTTCCTAGTGGCTTTGGACAGTTGTGTGCCTTTCCCCCAGTGGTTTATTAATTTGCTTTCTTTTAGCCCCCAGCCTCCTGACATGGTTCCTGCTTCCTATTTCAGTTCCCTCCTCGCCTGTTCTTTGTCTCTCCTCTAGGCAGGGGGAGGGGGGGGTCTTGCCTCTCTCACAGCACTTTCCTCAGAACTTTCTCCAGTTGCCACGGAATGTTCTGGTTTCAGCTTCCAGCCCTCCTGTTTAAAAGGCACCATCCCACACACCCTGCCTGCTTCTCTGGGTAAAAGCTAAAAAAACCCCAAAGCATGGCTGTTTCTTGGCAAGTGATCCACTCACACTTGCCACGAGGATGCCAGACCAGCACACTGGGAGCTCACACTCCGAGTAGTTGCTGGATGCTCGTTCAACATGACCACCAGCACCTTGCAGTCCTGAGTAATCACAAGGGTACCGACAGAGCCCTTTGCCTTGGCTCCTCAGCACTTGCCATGGCAGTGGCTGTAGCTCTCCTCTTGGTACTTACAGTCTTTCTACACTGGCTTATTGCACGCTACAGCTCCACCAGCACACTTAAAGGACTGCTGCTTAGAATGTTTTCTGGTCCCAAACTTACCCTGTCTCAGAATACAAGACTATTGAAGCAGTCACTCAACTAGCATTTGTTAAAACATTGCCAAATTTCTTCTGAAAATGAACAGGTTCTAAACACACTGAGCAAAAATTTGGCTCATCACTATGAACAGACTTGTAAGGTTAATGTGATGACTAAATGGCATTTCTCCATACATAACTGTATAAGCAGACAGGAATGATTACCTTTGAACTCAATTACCATCACAACTAGCAAATTACTTTTTAAACACAAAGTTGCAGATAATGTGAAAGAAAATTTTAAATTTCAGTTTTGAATTTTACATTTTCTATATCCAGTATTTCCTCTCCTTTTTAGATGATACCTATTCTATTTTCTTTGATATCTTCTGCACTGGAATGTGCTGAACTTCTTTTGAATCCATCCCTCTTTTAAATAAAGGCATTTTCTTCAGCTACTTTTTTCAGCTTACTATTTCCTGTCTCACCTCTGCTCAAGGGAATTCCTGAGGTGTCCCTAAATGTTTTACAGCTGCCTGGTGCCTGCTGAAACACTTTGATTGGTATTTCAATAGTATTAGTAATCTCCTTTTCTCCAAACATGTGTGTACCATTTGGGACTCCACATTGTACCATTGCTCGCTTCACTGCAGATCAATTGCTACTGGCCTTACTCAGAAGTGCAGACCTTAAATTGGTGTGCAAATATAGGAGGTAACAAAAGACTGTTACAGTTGAATCTGTTCAAACATATTTGGGTATACGTTAATTAGAGTTGAGTCATACCTATTTGTTCAACACTTTCAGCTTGTGAATCTGTGTAGGTCTTGAGGCTACTGAAATTTTTCAGAATAGTCCCATTATTATACTCTTTAAGAAGGTTAGTCACTATTTCACAGGGATTATAATATTAGCAGAGACATTTGTGCATGGCACTTGTGCCAACTAATCAGTCATATGAACCATTTCCTTTCCATGCGTGTTCCACAGAAATACACAACACTGAACAGTTTGTGGCACACTTGCCATTTCAGTGAGTAGCTGTCAGTTTTTCTGAGCTTTCACCTATATTTTAATTAACTGCTACTGATATAACAAGCAATTAATTCAGCATTCATTACTTATTAGGTTGATTATTACTTAAATTTAGTTTTTAAAGCTTGCTTAGTTTATTATTAGGAATCATCCCATGAGAATGCCAACCCTAGCAGCAAGGATTCTCAGACTTGGAGACAGCAGAGTTTCCTCTGTAACCCAGACGTGGGTTTAGTGATTTGTCAGCTTTCTCCTCTAGAAGCAGATGAAAATTCTTTAAAAATACCCAGCACCCTCACAAAACTGACAGCAATAGGATGGTATATGATGCTCTGGAAAGTACACAGAAAGACTTACTGTGTGAGAAAACAGCACTGTTTGGTTTTCCTCTTTTTGATCACTCTCCTCACTGCACTCATGTGCTGTGTACTCTGTGTGTTGCATGGCAGTCCACGACAAAGTGTGGGGAGCTGATGTTAAACTATACAACTTTTAGTTGTTATACTGATTTTACACAGTCTTGGAAGCCAACCTTTGATACTTAATCTCCCTTTTGTTCCCCTCATTTCTTCAGTCTGCTCAGTTTAACATATTCTAGACTGCCTGGAACCAAAGCAACCTGACCCATTCAAAGCAAGATTGCCACATTTAGGGATCTGTGCAACGTGGAAATACAACCTAGGATTCCATCTCCTTGACTCCCAGTGAATTAGGCATTCATGCCTACCTAAGCAAACCTGACAGACAACTTTTTCTCCTAAAGCATACATTACAATACAATCCTAAATATGCAATGCAAGCACAAAGGTTTGGTATTTACAGATTAACAGCTAAACTACTGTGCTTTTCCCCAGGAAAACTCCCACCTAGATAACACATAAACTGGCATTAAAAAAAGCTAATCCTAGAAGACAACTAGGAACAGCTACATCTTTACATTTTACAACATTCAAAAGAGACACAACTTTCTGTCTATTGGCTGAAGAGTTAATTAAGATGTGAATTGAATCAACTCTCAGTCACTTCACCTCAGGCAATCAGTATTATGCTTCCGTTGAAGATTCAGCACTATGGATTTAAAAAAATCTTACCTTTTGATAGAGCATTTT